CTATTTGTCTATCCGGACGGAAATCAAATTTTATTCTAATTTGCTCATTGGTCGTGACGTCACTAGCGAATTTTGTCAGAGGTTCAAATTCGGTCAGTTAATTTATTATTTAAACCTAAAGGGGGTAGTTGTCGCTCGCTATCATAATAGGGAGGTCGGCCGCGTGCGAATTTTACAATTCGATATTTGTTCCACGCTCATTATTTTCCAATTATAATTTTAATTTTATTGTCAGAGATACGTATATAATATACGCCGTTTCATTTGTAGCGCCCTCATCTTCGCATTTGCATATTATTCTATCTATTATTTTATATCGTCAGTCTCGCTCGCTCTTGTTTCGTCTATTTCGCTCGCTCTGTCTCGCTCGCTCTGTCTCAGTCTGTCTCGCTCGCTCGCTCTCAGTCTATATCGGCGCTTCAAGATGGCCGCTCAGTTTCTAGCGCGGACGCCTCGTGTCCTTGTGCCGGTTGTTGGAGCGCCTCCTGGGGCGCTCCCGTGTCGGTCCTGTAATGTTCTCCCGGGTGTTTGTGTGTGTGGTTGCTGGTATTCGTGTGTGTGGCGCTCAGGATGTCGCCGATGGTGTTCGGCAGCCCGACACAGCTGATTACCGGCTGCCACTTCATCGGCGATTTTCTGCTCGCCCCAGGAGTGTCAGTGCCTCGTGAGTTTTAGTGTTGGTGTCTGGGAGTGTAACGGATCTGCATGTGTCATCAACATGCATTTCCGTTGCATTTCCCAGTCAAGTTTTGCATTTTTCTTTTGCCGGCCGGCAACACGTGGTCGGGAGTGTATGTGAGTGAGTGTGTGCGTGCGCTCTCTTTTTCTGTGGTGCGCTCCTTTTTTTTCTGTCTGCTCTTTGAGCGTCCGTCGGATCGCGTTTGACAAGTTTGTTTCATCCATATCTCCGGCGTGGTTGTTCGGACATAAAAAAGAGTAATAGTTCTGAATAGGGCGCGCTTATCTTTAATTTATGCAACCGGTCACGGGGCGGCAAGGGACGGGGATGGCCTTTCTGAGGTGTTGCAAATAATACAGCACTCAGGAAAGGCCTTGTAATGTACCGCATTACATATTTATAAGTGATACAAACATCACAAGCAGAATATCATAGACGAATCAATCGTCGATCCTTCTATATTTTTGACACCACCATTGCATATCAAGCTTGGTTTGATCAAACAATAAGACATGCAAAATTGAGCGCAGACATCTTCAATGAATCTGACAATCAATCTTTGTTAAAAAATCAACAATTCGAGTAATAAATAATAATAAAAAAGCAGCATTGTTAAGTTTCAAAAACGTGTAAACAAAATTTTTGGGTACTAAAAAAGACCAGAATTACAAGAATATGGTAGCAAAAGTATTAGTAACTTTAAAAAATTGACATGTCTTATGAACTTGAAACTTTATTTTTTAATTCGTATGTTGATAAATTTCCAGAAAATAATAGATATTTCAGTTTACAATAAGGAGAAAAGATTCATTAGAAGTTGAAAGAGTTTGAACATTATTTTCAAGAACTATGAGATGTTAATAGATGGTCAACTATCGTTGGATGATTAAGAGAGAAACATGCGCTTTAGAAAATAAATATCACAGAAATTGTATCTGAACTATATTCTTATAAATGTAAATGTCACTATACAATCTATTTTTTATAGCTTTGTTGACTGCAGTTTTCCCGTAATGTAACAACTGAATCACAAAATTTGATTTCATGTTTATATTCAGCGAAAGAAAAATAGAAAAGAAAATATATATAACTTTATATAGTTACTGCTTGTATTTTAAAAGTAATAATTACAGTGCCCGGGACGTACTTTTGCCCACCCTGAGGCGAAATTTGCCAAAATTTAAAGTTTTATATCTCAGCGAAAAAGAGTCGTAGAATAAAAACTTGACGCCATTTTAAAGGTAATAGTAATATGAAGATAATATTGTTTGTACTAGAATCAAGTTTTTTATGCTTGAAAAATGCTTGAAAAACATAAAAAATTTCTTTTTTTTTTGCCCATATACAAATTTATTTATTTGCTTGGCTAATGAGCATGAGGGAGCAAAGGATAAACGATAACGATGCGGGCAACGCTAGACCGATCGGCGTGTGCACTCTCGATTAGCTAATGATAACAGAGATAGGGGTATAATAACGAATAGGATAAAACCGACGATATTTAACTGACCAGTAGAAAAATTACGCGGGATGAAGTAACGAAATAGACGGCAATAATGATCGGGTTGACGATACCCGTGACCAATAGGATAAAAATCCGCAAGAAAAGAGGAGAGGAAATTGAAGGGATTCGATATGACGCCGCGCTAGTCGCTGCCTATTCCCCTGGAGATCGGAGCCGTGGACGGAAGCATTCAAAGAGAGAGTGAGTTGTTAAAGTGTTTTTGTTAAGTGCCATAATTGAGAACAAGAGAGAGAGAGAGAGAGAGAGAGAGAGAGAGAGAGAGAGAGAGAGAGAGAGAGAGAGAGAGAGAGAGAGAGAGAGAGAGACAAAGAACGATAGCCCTGCGGACCAACAACTTTACGGCAGCTGTGAGTACACCTTACATTTGAATCGCGAACGGAAGTACGCGAAATAGCTTAAGCCTTGCGGACCCGCGACTCGTTTCGATCGACCCACGGATGACCTACCTTGCATGAATAGTTGTCGGTTTTGTTTCCAAGTGTTTTCTGACGACCAACCGACCTGATCTGTATTTATTGCAAGTGCCGGCTGTGATCGCGTGGCGGTGCGCTTAATAGGAAACGACTCGTGTGCTGCAAATGGAAATTGCATCGCCGTGGATACTTAGGTTAACCTCACGTCGTCTAATAAATAACGGAATAGTAATCATAGGAATAGAGTAAATTGACATTGAGCAGACTAATAGATCAGGACAATAGCAATAGATAAGAATATCGCGGAGCTTGACTTTGACGCATAGCTTAGCATGGGAGCATAGCAACAAGTAGGAATATAGCATAGCTTGACCTTGGGCCGACAAGTAACAAAGAGCATAGCAATATTTAGATGAAAATAACAGCTTGACTTTGGACAGAGAGCTTAGTAAGATTTTGACTTTATTGAATAAATAGACTTTCCTTGATAATCAGCGTTTTCTTCTTTGTGTAACCTACAATTCACCTCTCCCTCGTAGTTTTCGCGATCGGATTGCCATGTAAGAGGGGCAGGATAGCGTGCATTAGTACATCGATATCGCAATTGTGCGCCACTGTGTTCAGCACTTCCGAATAGCTGTAAGATTACCTGCTAACAAGATGACCTTGAAGGAGCCATTCCGACTACCCGCTTCTGAGCAGAAGCTCGCTCACCGACGCACCCACTGACCAGCTAGCCGAGCCCCGCCCCCCCCCCCTCACTACATTTTCTGTTAACCTTATCGCCGTTCGTTCCATAGTTCTTTCGCATCTCTCATCCTCACGTGACAATCAGGTAGCCGACGCGGGCCAAGGATGAGCCAGTAGGGTAACTATAGGATGTCTGATAAGAAATAGCAGCAGCAGCAGCAGTGACAACGGCAGCAGCAACAACAGCTTATAGCTCGCTCTCCTACCCCTCCCGTCCTTGCGCGTGCAAGCGTACTCCAGTCAGGCAACCTTTTCCAGCGTTACCTGTTCTCCTAACGCGAGGACGGTAGCTGGCGCCTAACACACCAACGCATGTACAAATAAAAACTGCATCTGAAAATTGACATGACTCTTGATTCTGATTCCACCTCCCTCATTCTTGACCGCCCCGGCGCACACTGTGGTATTATATTAAAACATCAAAAAATTATATTCAAAATGAAATATCTCAACTTAGAATTGACCGAATTTGATATAATCGATTTCAATGTAAAGCTAATTACTTATAGAATACCTTCACACAATTTTTGTTGAAAACATTATTTCAACAAATGATTTATCACTTGGAATCTTGGCATCATATATTTTTATAGAATTTTTAAGTACTTTAAACGCCCAGAAGTATAATTAAAAGTTCAATACTGTGATTTCCTTTGTGTGGCTTATTAAATTCTTTTCAACTATCGACCAAACAGAATTTTCATACTTAAATACAATTTTACCACCAAAAATTTGTTATTACCTGACATTTGATGAATTTCAACTTCTATTTATTCAGTAAATTATCTTTAAACTTATATTTTCTTATTAAAAACAATTATTTTTAATTTTTACTCTAAAGATCTACAGCCTCAAAAAAATTTGCATTTCCACGAACTTTTTGAAGGATAGGAAATCTATTTCGACACTCGTTGTAGGTTTTCCTGTATTCTATAAGTAATTAGCTTTACATTGAAATCGATTTTATCAAAATCGGTCAATTCTAAGTTGAGATATTTCATTTTGAATATAATTTTTTGATGTTTTAATATAATACCACAGTGAGCGGCGTATGTACGCGCACACGCCACCGCTTTGGATGTCGACAGCTGAACGAGGCCGCAAATCTCTGCAATTATTTCCTCGTTACCTTTACAGCGTCACACCATTTAAACAATATAGTCAATAAAATTAAATATCTGATATTTATTTTTACATGGCTCCTTCCCCTTTCTCCTAGCCATATACGTACCGACGGATTCGTTTGTTAATGTTACGTCGTACCTGCCTACCATGACAAAACATATCTTCGATATTTGTCCAGAGAATTGCTTTATAACAAAAATGAAGTTTAATAATCGCTTAAGAATGAGAATGATCTATTTTAATTATTGCTATCTAAAATTAAGTCCTAATAATAAATAAGAATATATATATATATATAATTTAGTTAATCATTTAACGTTAATCAATTCTACATGAATGAACATTTGTTTAACGGTAGAACCAAGTTGCCAAGCGAGTGATAGCGAGCGTGATAAATTATGCTCGTATATATATTAACTAAAGCTTGAGTGTTTAATACATGTTAAAAAATAATAAAGATTTTTATAACGAGCTACGATAAATTTTGTAAGTAAATTAATATGTTTACCTCAAAGTTTTATGAGTCGTTGTCGAAACTACATCACTATACTCAAAAGGACTAGGAATTAGTCCAGCTGCTACTAAACCAGATACGTGAGCCATATCACTAAATAAATAAGCGTTGTTTTCATCGGCTATTTCTCTAAATCTTTTATAATCAAGACATCTGCTATAGCACGATACTCCAGCTATGATAATTTTCGGCTTGAATAACTTTGCATCTTCAGCTAATTTATCATAGTCAATAAGTCCCGTGTCTGGTCTTACTTTGTATGGCATGGATTCGAAAAATATTGAGGTGGCTGAAATTTTTTTAGTATTTGTAAAAAAACCTGTAATAAAAAATATAAAGTGCATTAACATACACGATATTCAAGAATCCATAATTCATAGTTAGTAAGCATACAACTTTTTATTACTCCGTCTAATTATACATATTACGTTGAAGAGTTGACTCATTTCATAGATAGAAATAGTTGTCGTGATGTATGAATTTTAAGCAGTAGCTATAAACAACATCGAGTTTTGCGCAAATGATAAAAGTAGTATAGCAATTAGTATGTTTCAGCTCACTCTGAGGGGGGCCCATAACCCTTTGGTCTCCTGGCTTAACCCTTTCATGTTAATAATAATTATTATTATTGTTAATAATTATTATTAACAATATTTGTGGGGGTCCCTGGTTTAACCATTAGGTTCCCTGGCCTAACCCATCCATGTTAATTACTATTAATGTTAATAATAATTATTTATAATTTTTTGAGGAAGTCTTTTATACAAGGAGACCCATTTTAAAGGAACCACCCCGAACTGTTCTACGGTTGGCATTCTACAAAAAAGTTGTTCGGACAAAAGTTGTTATGGACAATGAGGAATACCTTTCCCAGAAATCGGATTTGACCATGAGATTTACTTTCAAGGTAATTTGAAAGTCAAAGTCATTTTTTGAATAGGAATCTATAATTTTGATCCCAAATTCGGAAAGAGCGAGGCATTCTACGTTTAGATAAGGTATTATGTGTGAGGTGCGGTTAACCCCCCCCCCCCTCCTGCGTAACGTCATGTTGGGATCAAATTTATTATTTTCTTCATCTAAGCATAGGGATGATCGGGCAAGGTAAGATTAATTTTAATAACCCAAAAACTTAAATAACCCAATAAACCAACCCCAATAACCAAATAACCAAGTGATTTTTTTAATAATAACCCCCATTTTTTATCATGGATTCGGAAAGAGCGGGAAATTCTAGGTTCAAGAAAGTTATTATGTGTGGGTGCGGTCAACCCCCTCTCCTGTCCTACTGGGGCAACGGAGCGGTTAATAATAATAATAATAAATAATAATAATAATAATAATAATAATAATAATAATAACAATGTCGGGCTGGTCCAGTGAGTGGTAACACCTCACTGGTTCACACTTTTCCGTTTTAAGGGTAGCATAGCGTAATCAAACATTACGCTAATAAACCACCCCTCTCTCTGGGTGCCAATAGGTTGGCATAGACCACGGTCTTTCACTCCTTCGCTTTCAAACACTTTGGAGATCCGGAAGTCAAGTTTGCTACGAGATCCCTGACGCACACAGCGAGTCGGAGCCTTTTTGATATAAGGCGGCGAACTCCTCGAAAGGAGTACCGATCTTTTCACTGTTCGACGCTCAAGGAGAGCGGAACTAAAGGCTTGACCCTCGGTTTGGGCGCGACGGGACTCTAGTTGCCCCAACGTCTACCGCGTCGGAAGCGCGCGGCATACAAATCTTACGAGATTTGCTTGAGCTGGTACCACTACCCCGCAGAGGCCAACCCAAATTGGGATGTCAGAAGAGAGACTAAGCTAAGACGGCCAGAGAAAATTCCTAAGACGATCAACCAGCTAAGCCTCCCCTCTTGAGCTCTCGTTCAAAACATCCCACCCTGTGTACCTGTATTAAGGGATTGCTCCCACGACTCACAGGTCCATCGTTTCGACGTGCCATGGCGCGTCTCTCCATTGCGTTTCGGTCATACCCGTTCACGCTGGTGGGTATCCGTTATTCGAAAGGAAAGTTGTATCCCGATTTTCGTCCAAGTCTTGGATTTCGCTTTCTATGGAAGGCTTTTATGACTCGCTGATATTGATCTCTGCTCTTTCGATTGATATTTTCTGACTTGGGTCAGGGGTGGGGTCTCGCCTAGCCGACAAGGCGACTCCCCAGACAGTTTTCAATATTCGTGCCAGTCATGCCACTCATTCGAATCAATTTCCAACATTAGGCTAAATCGGGTATTCTAATTCGCGTTTAAAAACATGGAACTTCGGAGCTTAATTCCGATGTTCGATGCTTAAATAAGGATAAGCGTTGTGTGTTTTGCCTACTGTTTCTTTACAGAGACAGCGTTTTCAGCCCCACCACGTGAAGGTACACACATCCGCACTTGTGATTGCAAGTCTTCGTTCAAATATACATTGCATTCACTTTGGGTCGACTAGCATTGGTTGCTTGTCGAGGGCAATCGGTGACGCATTTTGTACTTCAGCATTTGCATTTGCATATGTCCGTACAGAAAAGAGAAGTTTACGACGTTCTCTCCCAAAATAACGAATTGTTTGTTTGAGAAGTCTCCGTTTTCTGTTGAGGAAGACAATTACTGTCCGCCGCTTTGACAAAAGATTTTTGCACAAAGTGACCTGGGCAGCCTCGCGGCTGGCCATATGGTGCACTATGTGCATCATTTATGTTTTTGCTACGCTGATTATAATCGATCTTCCTGAGAGCGTCGTGATTACAACCGCCTATCCTACCTGGTAGCCGTTTTCGGAGCACCTGGACGTGGCTCTTCAAAAATCGACGTGCGACCACGTTAAAACTCGTTACACCAATTTTTGACGGTCGTCATCAAAGGAGAAGAGTCACCATACACAGCATCCAAGCGCTTTTTGATTTGGCTGCGCGATTTCCCTTCCAAAAACAAGAATCGAATCACCGACCGATACTGCTCTTTTTCCATTTTTCAAAAATCAACGAACACACTTGCTTTCACACGCTCTCAAAAGTAAACTACAACTCCGATCCGGCTGAAATCTTGACAGTAACCATCGAGAAGATTGTACTACGTGATAGAATATTTCTTTTGCGAGAGTGGCGCCATTGGGCGGTGAGGTTAAGTACTTATTGGATCACCCTCGTACCTCAAGTGGTAACTCCTTCTCAGGAGGAATCCACACCGGGTTCCGATTGGGTGAAAACCTCAGTGGCCACGGGCAGCGGCACGGATTTTGAGGGCCGCACTTTGTGCACGGGGATGAGAAGGACGACATGAAAAAACGACACGAACCTACTGAAATTACCAAGACGACAGAGGATGGACAGTGTGTCAAGCGGCGGCAGCGAGGTAAGCCACGTCTCTGTCGCTGATAGCCAAGAACCGACGACAGGACGAACATCCACAATAACAAACGACACACGAGACGAGACGGAACTGCTGTGGATCATACAAGAGACGGCGTCGAAAATGGCCAAAGCAATAAACGTACAAAAGAACATGAACATGACAGTGAAGACGGGAATTAAGACAATTCTCGAGACTGTGGATATCGCGGTGCACAAGCGATGGGACACAGTTTCGGGAAAACGTTCCCAAGACAACAACAATACAGACATGACAGCGGAGGAGAACGAAGAAACGCCACGGACGAAACGAAATCATTCGCCGGTCGGAACCACGCCGGAGCCCTCACAAAAGAGGCCACGGACGAAGAAACCGACCAAGGACTGGCAGACGGTAACACGAAAAAGATCAGACAAGACAAAAAAGAAAACGGACGTAAAGAATCGGTCTGACAGAGGCGGGCCGGCCCACCGGAAAAGGGGTCTGGCTGTCCAGATCAGGCCGGGGACGGACACGACGTACTCCGATATAGTACGGAAAATACGGACGACAATCGACCGAAGGAGAACCACGTGCAGGTGACAACCCTGCGGAAGACGAAGAACGGCTTATGACTTCTGAAGCTACAGGTAGACGCAGACAAGCCGGACGGACGTGAGATGTTTGGACGACAGATCCAAGATACGATCAGGGAAGCGGGCAGTGTCACGGCCATGACTTCCAAGGTCCAATTGGAGATCCGGGATCTGGACTGCGTTGTGACTCCGAAAGACGTGACGGACGCTCTCAGACGAGAGACGGGCCGAGACACGGACTTTCGAGTCCACATTTTCGGTCCAAACCGCGCTGAGCAGTATATGGCGGTCTGCGAATTAGAATCGCGGCAAGTCGATGCATTGCTTCGGCGTGGTCGGATCGGAATTGGCCGGGTGCATTGCGGCGTTCGGAAATGACTGACGGTGACAAAATGTTACAGATGCCTGGGCTTCGGCCATGTGAAAGCTGAATGCACAGGTAAGGACAGGACAAAATGCTGCCGCAAGTGTGGCACATCCGGACACCACGCGACGGAATGCCAAAACAAGCCGGTCTGCCAACTGTGCTCGGAGGCCGGGCACAGGGACGTCGCCCACCTCACCGGAGGCGGCAGGTGCGCCGTGTTCCGGGCCGCGCTGGAGGAGTGCAGGGGACGGGCCAGAGGACGGACAGAATAATTCAGAGAAACCTGAATCGAAGTAGGACTGCAGACATGCTCCTACCTTAGATAGCCGACGAATATGACGCGGACATCCTGATTCTGAGTGAACCATACAGGAGAAGGACGACCCAGACATACATTACAAACAAGACAGAGACCACTGCTATCTGGGTACGGGGTGGCACCCAATCTAGAGTCACCAATTGCGGTGTCGGGGACGACTACGTCTGGGTCACAGTTGGCGCTGTCACTTACCTCAGCGTCTACCTGACACCCGACTGCACCGCGATGGAGTTCGAAAGAAAGGCGGCACTCCTAGAAGACGGGTTCAGGGACCTGACCGGGGATGTCATCGTTGCGGGGGATTTTAACGCGTGGGCGATCGAGTGGGGAATGAACGAAACGAATCGACGCGGACGACTACTGTTGGAAATCGCCGCAAGGCTCGATCTAGCAGTGGTAAATACGGGTCATACGTCGACGTATAGACGTCCAGGTGTCGGGAACTCTATCCCCGAAGTGTCGATGACATAGGACAGAATTCTGCTACGGCTGAGGGGATAGCGGGTGATCGAAGATTACACAGCCAGGGATCATCAGTACGTCGTCTTTGAAATGGTGGGACGGACGAGAAAGAAACGAACGAGAACCCATCAACACCCGCGGTGAAATTTACGTAAACTCGACGGACGAAAATTTTCGGAAGAGCTAATGGCAGCACCGGCTCCAGGGGAGAGAATTCCCCGGACTAATGGGCCGGCAA